GTTGGTTGGTGCCAGGAGCTGTTCCTGTGGGAATTCCAGGCGGGAAATCCCCAGGGTGGCTCAAGCCCTGGAAATGAGGGAAAATCGGGATTGGGGGGAGGCTGGGGTTGGGAATTCGGGAATGTTGGGGTTGGGAATGCTGGGATTTGGGAATTACAGGGTTTGGGAATGCTGGGGTTGGGAATTATGAGGTGTGGGAATGCTGGGATTTGGGAATCCCGGGATTTGGGAATCCCAGGGATGTCCATGCTGGGAGTCTCCCTGTGGAATTGCCCCTGGAATGCCCCAAAATCCCTGAAATCCCTCAGAATTCCCCCTGAAATCCCCCCAAACCCCCCGGAATTCCCCGGAATTCCCCGGAATTCCCTGGGATTGCAGAATGCGGCCAAGAAGCGGGAGCAGGAGCAGGGGGAGCTGGAGGGGGAGAACTCGGCCCCGCCGCGGAAAATCGCCCGGACCGGCAGCCAGGACATGACCGAGGACACTTAAAATCCCGGGAATCCGGGAATTCCCGAGGCTCTTCCCGCTTTTTTGCGCCTCCCCCCCGCTCTGGGAATTCCCGGGATCCGCCCTATTTATTTGGGATTTGCCTCCTTGCCGCTTCCTGGTTTGTATTTATGGGATTTTTATGGAGAGGGAGGATTTGTCCATCCTTCGGGGCCCCCGGTGCCGGAATTCCCGTTTTTCCTGGGATTCCTGGGTGCTGCTCCCGATTCCCCAAATTCCCCTTTTCCCTGCGATTCCTGGGATTTGCTCCTGAGATCTCCCCCGGAGAGCTCGTTCCCAAAAATCCGCTTTTCCCGGATCACTTGGATCTGACCCTGTGACATCCCAGAATTCCTAATTCCCAAAAGTCCATTTTTCCTGGGATCACTTGGATCTGACCTTCTGTTATCCTAGAATTCTTAATTTCCAAAAATCCACTTTTCCTGGGATTTATTCCCTTCTCAAACATCCCTTTTCCCTGGGATTCCTTGGATCTGCTCCTTGTGGAATTCCAGGATAACTTTTTAAAATCTTTTCCCCCCAAAATTCCACTTTTTCGGGATCTCCTCCCTTCCCCAAACCCATTTTTCCCTGGGATTCCCCACATCCCCTCCCTGTAAAATTCCAGGATTTTTTTTTCCCTTCACTTCCCCCTGGAGAAATTCCCAGGAATCCTTTGGATATTCCCAGCCCAACCACGACTTGCGAGGCCTTTCCCGTTTTTCCAGAGAATTCCCAACCCTTTCCCGGGCTCCCATCACGGCTGGAGCCCATCCCCGGGAATTTGCATCCCGGGATTTTTGGGGGGGGCTGGATCCAGGGATTTTTTTTTCCCCCCCTCCCTGCGGATCCTTAAATCCCCATTTTTCCCTGGGAATTCCCAGGGGAGAGAGCCGGAGCGGCTCCGGCTCCGGGGGAATCCCGGCTGGAATTGGGGGGAGCCGGGCTGGGTGGTGGAAGAGTCCCGGCTGGAATCCCGGGAATGCGGAGCCCGTTCCCAGCGGAGCACAGCCGGAGCCTCGACATTCCTGGAAAACCTCGGCCGAGGATGGGATGATCCCAAAATCCCAGCTGCTTTTCCACGGGGAGCCCTTCCCGTGGGAACCCCACCCCTTCTCCCTCCGGGAATTTTTCCTGGAGATTCCCAAACCCAATTCCCGGCTCTGACTCTGGGGAAGTTCCTTCCTTTTCCCGGAAAATCCCGGATCCGCCTTCGGCGCTCCAGCCTGGGAAAGGCCAAAATTCCAGCAGAAGCTCGGGAGGAGCAGGACGCGGCTCCCGTCGGAATTCCCGGAATTTGGGACTGGAATTCAATCCAGAACTTTGGCTCTGCCTCCGTTTTTCCCAAGTTTTTGTTTTTGTTTTTGTTTTTTTTTTTGTTTGGTTGGTTTTTTTATGGAATT